TATGCTGTTTTTGACCCGTTCAATTGTGAATAAATGAAAAATTCTAACCCTATTCTTTCTCTCACTAATATCTCAGAGTGAGTTACTGAGACTGTACATATCAGTTAATGATGAGAAAAAGGGTGAGACCTGAAGCTATCCTGCTCTGTGAATCCTTGTACTTTTGCTGCACAGCTAGAAGTTTTGAAATTCATAACTCTGCAACAGGTGATAGGCCCAGTCTTTAGTAACCATTCACCAGAGAGGCAGATCACTAACAAGTATTTTTCAGGCTGTGTTGTTTTTCAAAGTGTTTAAACAAAACACCTCATCATTGGCTGAAGAGAAAGAGTTGTTTCTTTTCTGAGATTGCTAACTAAAGTTACTCAGAAAGAGAGAGGAGGTAGAATTAATCTTGATTACAGCAAGGCACTTTTTGGCAAAATGAAAGAGTTAACTTTTCTGAATTTCTGTCAGTGGAAACAGAGGCCGCACTTTAACCTCAGAGCTTTGAGAGTGCATGGGGTTGTTTACAGAGACAAAGACCAGCAGATGCACAGGACAAAACTGATTGGGAAGATGAAGATTCTATAGGAAAAACAGTAATTTCACAAAGCCTCTCAGATAAACAGATGATATATATATAAAAGACTGTGAAACTACTAAAGAGATGCTAGAAGCACTTGAGAGATCCTATGGGTTTTCTAGCTCTAAATGAGAAGCTATTTTTATTAGAAAACTGGTATGGATCCATCTTCACAGGAAACAAGATTGTGAAAAGCTTCCCTAGCAAAACGTCTAGGACAATTCATAACCTTTTAAATGAATATTGTCCTTGGTATTTAGGATGTTGTTGTTGTTGTTGTTGTTGTTGTTGTTGTTGTTGTTGTTGTACAGTAACCCTAACAGGGTTGCAAATCCAAGGGTAACTAGAGTAACTTTCCTGGCAAAATCCGTCTTACCATGAACTTTTGGACTTTCACGTTCTTCACACTGGTTAAAGCCTGACAAAGTGGTCTGGATCCACAAAAAATCGCATATTGTGTGATTACTTTTTTAGTCGTTTATAAAAGTATTACCTGCTCTTGGATTTGGATTTTGCATTGAACGCATGGCCTTTTTATTTCATCCTAATAGGGTTGTTGAAATATGTGAGATAACCATGGCCAAGCAGCAATTTGAACCCATGTTTCCTGAGTCCAAGTTCAACAGCTCTATAAACTACACCACTCTGGCTCCCAGGATAGCATATACCACCATATAATTAAAAAATAAAAAAGATTGCTCCTGAGCTATAATTTCCTGAAATATAAGGGACAGCATACTTTATACATCTTTATGTAACAACAGCTAAAATCCTGTTGCTTAGCATAGCAAGTTCCACTAAAATAAGCCCATTAAATCAGTAGGGATTTGGTGAGTCAGTTCATAAGTTTCATTCATTAAAATGGGCCTACTCTATTTGCAACTTACTACACTAATATAAGACTAAACAAATCCCCACTGATTCAGTGAGCCTACCCTAAGCAACGGGATTTCAGCCATCAGGTACCTGAATACTGTATGCTCACTTTCTTTGTTACTCTCTCATCTTTCTTGTGTATCATGCCTATTAAACTATATATCACTATTTTAAATTGCCACCCACTGTGCAACTGTTGGAAGAAAGGTGCTATATAAAGGTAGAGAGTAAATAAAATAATTCAATTATCTGTCAATTGTTTTAAATTATTTTTCCTTTTATCCTCTCGTCTGCATCAGAGCTGCACAGTGTGCTTTTTAAAGTGAAAAGGTGTGTTTTGTGTAATAACTTGCACTACTATTTCATCTTCCTTAGAATTTGTTCAGTTCCTTTGGGGGAGGAAAAAAAGTAAATAAAATAGATACAGCTCACCTAATACATTTATAAGTGAATGAGGCATGGAACAAAAATGTCTAAGACTAAGAGACAAATCACTGGTCAAGCAGGCTCCTTTATTTTTTTGGGCTTCCCTGTTTGCTTCAATTCTTCATCACAGCACATTGTGTATCTGGAAAATTATCATCCACCTCTTCTTTCCACAATCTGGCACATATTTTCCTCATTGCTTTTTGATGGCACATCCTGATAGCCTAATAAGGGACATTTCCCCCTTTGTCCATTCCTATGCAATGACAGCTTTGTGATTGAGAAATTATCTAGATGCCTTCAGCTTGAATGCAGTATTTCAAATTATCTAATGATGCTTTCCATTAACAGTGAACAACATGTTAAAACCAGTGCAAGGACGAGGTGATACCTTTTTTGAACCACTAAAAATCATACATATGGGAAGCTTTCATGAGTAAGATCTAGAGTTCCTTCTACTGCTTTTGGTGAATAAAAGACTGGACCATTTCAAGTTTTAAAAATTTAAACTCTGCAAGAAGATTAAATTGACATGAGGAAAGTGACCTGCTAAAACTTTAGAGAGGTTTATTTCAAGTGTAATGGATACAGTAAGCATCCTGCCCCTACCATCCTACATTGTGACGGACATGGATTTGATTATTTTTAAGTGCCGTCTGTTCATCCTGAATTGGCAACTGCAAAGGTCTTTGTACTGATCAGTTTTATAATCATAAATAAACTTGCAACCTGTTTTGAACCATGTTTACTGTGAACTAAGTCACTCTATTGCAGAGTTTGGAAAAGCTACTTCTTTGGACTTTTAACTCCCAGAATTGCCTAGGCAGTTGTGGCCAGTGCCCATGCTGCTACCATGGAGTAAATTTAAAGTGAAGGTTGCTGCATCAGTTATGGTTTTTTTAAAAATATTCTTTTTGTTCCCTTGCCTTAAAGGGCTAGTCAAGGAACTGCCTACAGATGAATCCACTGTTATAGCAGTTTCTTGGCCAGCATTTTAAGGCAAGGATAAAGAAATGTATTTGTGTATTAGATTGTGGCAAGCTCTCAGCCAAACTTCTCTTAAAGATCATACACATAACACATTTAAAAAGTGGACTAAATAGGAGCTTCTCTTAAAGATCACTTGTAATACATGTAACACATTTAAAAAGTGGACTAAATAGGATCACTTGATGTCCGTATGCCATTTGAATGTGAGTCCGAATGTTTGAATATGGTTTTCTTCATACTCAGATAGTGGAAAAGTAAGACAACAATATGCTGCATGTTCAGGAACTGTGAAGATTAGGCTAGTGTTGGATTTGTTCTTGGATAGTTTGAGGTACCTTCTTTTGTTCTTGCCCTGTGCTCTCTCTCTCTCTCTTGTTATTGCTGCTTTCTGAATGCTTGAGAGCCTTGCTAGGGGTTCTGAACGAGGAGGAATAATTGATGAGCAGAATATAGTCATTATAAGGCCAGTGGCCAGAAAAAGGAATGGGAGAGGCAAGCAGAACAGCTGTTACAAGAGAAAGGGGAAATAATCAAAGGTTCAGCTAGGGTTGTGAAGTTCTAGTGGCAAATGCCCAGATCTAACAACAGTGTTCTTGAATGCCATGTCAGTAAATGGTAAAAGCATGACTATCCCAGATTTGATCCTGAATAGCACTATAAAGAAAACCAAGTGGGATGGACAAGATGGGGTGAGGTTGTCCCAGCTGTACTCATCAAAATTTTCTAGACAACACAAATCACTTCTGGAGGGGTAGGGAGAAGGTCAGAGGTAGTGCCCCCATAGTTGCATATGGTTGCATTTAAACTTGCAAGAACTTTTGTCTTCAGTAGGAGAATTTGGAAGTAAGATGTTACTTTTTGCAGTTACTAGGTGGAATGGTGAACCTGATCATGCTGTAATTCATTACTTTTTCTATGTAATGAGAATGCATCCCCAATTTCTCATTATTGGGCAAGGTCCTTATGCATACAGTGCCTTCCTAGCTGCAAGTGTTTTACTGCAAACTGTTTCCATTTCAATCAGACTATGTCTTAACAAAGCTGTCTCGGATTCTTTCTGTCCTGGTTAACTTTCAAAGTTTCCACCTGTAGAAATCTCAGCTTGTCTCCTCCCTCACTGCAAGCTGCTGTTTGGCTATTGTCTCTGGAGATTACCAGAGACTACACTGCTTCCACTGTCTCTGAATTGCTCCAACTGATCCTTCCAGTACTGTTTCAGTCAGGACCATTTTGCCAATGACCTACAGCTATCTTAATGTTTCCAAGGCTATAAGGGTAAGTCAACAAGATCCAAAAATAATGTTCATGACCTATCAACACTTTTTGAATTATCTTATCAAATAGATTTGGCAAGTCTGATTGTGAACCACTACAGCCATAAAAGCAACTCTGAAGCAACTGACAGGTACAGACTGCCCAGAGTAAACACAGAATAAAGTAACAGTTAAGCTTCAGCCACATCTGTTTTATCCTTCACTGTTTTTCACAAGTGGATCTTGAGTTTCAAAATAGATGCTTATTTTTATATTAACAATGCATCCTTATAATATCTTACCTCAGTACTTTGATTCCCTGTAATGGCCTTTACAGTCCTGTATTGGCTTTAAAGGATTTATAGTAGAGAGTGTCATCTTATATACTATCCAGTCTATGACTTGAGATATGAAGACCCTCCTCTGTGTCCCAAATGTGGTGGAGACTTGGTGAATGTTGTCAAAGGAAAATCTAATCTGCACAGGAAACTAAGCCGTCACCCACTCTTATAGTTTCTTGCTGGACGTCAAAATATTTTCTGTTTAGGGAAGCTTGTGTCTCATCTATTGGATGAAGTCTTATCCAGTTTTTTTGTTTAATTTGCTATACCTTTTTCTGTTTTTGTTGGCTTCACTGAATGGTACAACAGCAGCTGAAGAATATGATACTCACATATAAAAAAAGCCAAATCAAATGATTTCTGAAATCTTAATAAACCTGGATCATCTCTTGGTGATGTGTCTGTATTCTCTCAATTCATATTAGTTTTATGTTTATTAATATGCAAATATGTTTCTTAAAGAGATTACTTGCATTGTTAAAAAAATTAACCAGACACTGTCAAGCAATTACTGAGAATAGTGCATTTATTTGAAAGCAGATCCCATTGAACTGAGCGGGAATTATTTCCAAGTGAACATGCTTAGAATTGTCTTGTTGCTGTCCTTGCACTGCCACATTGTTGTTAATCCCATCTTCCTCCGGCACAGCTGTACAACTCTGATGTTGCATCTGTTCAAAGGACACAGATAGTACAGTTATGACTTCTTGCATAGCTCAGAAGTAGATGTGGAAGTGGCAACATAAGCAGTATCTGGAATAGGATTCATCCCTGCAGCAATGCAATATACAACACATGAATATTAGAATACAGTTCTGCTGTCAATCAATGAAAGAAACAGGCCACACGCTCCACAACTACATTCACAAGTGCCAAAAATGTTGCAGTCACACAGGGCAAACATGTGTTAAATAAGTGCTAGACTGCTTCTAAGAATAAGAGACAAGGATCAGTTCCCAGAAAAAACTAGGGAAGTTTAAAAGGCTTGTGGTAAATACATGAATGACAACCCCCACAGTAGTGCAGGGAATTCCTTCACAGAGTGAGGAGCAAGATTGGCCCTATGTACCAGGCATAAATAGGACACAGCACTCTTGCCCAGTAACCAATGATGTCATAGCCCCAGACATATACAGTACATACTGTTGGTGTTAATCAGAGGATCCTATAGGATTGTCATTTTAATTTTTGAATAACTGTATCAGAAGAAATCAGGTCATCTGAGATAATATATATTCAAATACCCCGTTTCCCCGAAAATAAGACGTAACCTGTCATTTTTATTTTTGTCATTTGTATCAGAAGAAATCAGAGTCATCTGAGATAATATATATTCTAATACTCTGTTTCCCTGAAAATAAGACCTAACCTAAAAATAAGCCCTAGTATGATTTTTCAGGATGCTCGTAATATAAGCCCTACCCCAAAAATAAGCCCTAGTTAAGTGAAACCCCACCCTCCACCATTGTGCACCATTGTGCAGCAACCAGAAGATGACATGACTGTAAAATAAAACATCCCCTGAAACTAAGCCTTAATGTGTTTTTGGAGCAAAAATTAATATAAGACCCTGACTTATTTTCGGGAAAACATGGCAGTAAAAACAAGGAGATATTGCCGTATGTTGCCTCTTTTCAAGCCCCAACCAATAAGCAACAGTATAGGGAAAGCACTTGGCTATAATCTAAAGAGTATGAATAAATGAGCTATTTCATTCTTTGGCTTGCTTTGTAACTCTGAAGCAAATCAAGATTTGAGAAGCCTTCTGATACTTTTCTGTAAATAAGTTTCACTACATACAAAAGGGTCTCCCCCGCAAAAAAATTTTAACGTAGGATCAGAGTAATCACACATATTATTGATAAACATCATGCTCCTGCCAGATTCCTACTTAACATGGTTATTTCAGCCTTTTATATTGATTACCAATTTCTTCATAAAATGTATCTTTTTTGTTGTTTACTTTACTTATTAGTTGTCTATTCCTTTGACACATCCTGTTTGTGTTCACCCCTCCTCCTTGTTGTTCAAATCAGTAGCTAAACAATGGGCAAGACAATCAACCTGTGTTCATATGGAAATATAGAAGAAGAGAAAAAAATTCCACTGTATCAGAATATCTTCCAGAGCCTCAGATGAAACTTTACATTGGGTCTGCAGAAGATAAGTTGTGGGCTATAGTTTCCATCATCCCTTCCCATTATCTATACCAACTAAACTTGATAGGAGTTGTAGTCCAACAACATCTGGAGGGAAATTGGTCCCTCATTCTTGTTTTAAATGGACAGCCCTTTGGTGGGCAAGCCACAGTGCAGCAATATATATGATGAGCCTATACTCAGTGGAAGAAGATTGCATGATACAGTTGTGGGCTTCCAGATGTCATACATGAGAAACTGCCTTTGATCTGGTCTTCATTAAATTGTTAGGGAAAGGAATAAGAGCACACAAGGAAAGTCTCCAATCTTATTTTATCCAGCCTTCAGTCAAAAGAACCTCTCCTTCCATTTGCAAAGCACCAGTCAACATTTTGAGCGTGACAATCCCTTCCACACTGAGGACTCAATCTTATTTTATCCAGCCGTCAGTCAAAGGAACCTCCCTTTCCATTTGCAAAGCACCAGTCAACACTTTCGACCGTGACAATTCCTTCCACACTGAAGACAAATCCAATCTGTCTCCTGTACAGCTCCCTGATTTTGCTGCTTTTGTGACTTCCTCTTTGCCTCAGCCTGCTGGATAAGGGTCTCTTCAAATTGGAAGAGGCCATGATGCAACGCCTGCCTCCAGGCTGAACGCTCAGATGTCAAGGTTTCCCATCTGAGGTCCATTCCTAAGACCTTCAGTTCCCACTTGCAGATGTCCTTGTATCACAGCTGTGGTCTCCCTCTGGGGCGATTTCCCTGCACTAATTCTCCATACAGGAGATCCTTTGGAATCCAACCATCAGCCATTCTCATGACGTGCCCAAGCCAACGTAGACGTCGCTGTTTCAGTAATGTATACATGCTAAAAATTCCAGCTCATTCTAGGACTACTCTATTTGGAACTTTGTCCTGCCAGGTGATACCAAAAATCCGTCGGAGGCAATGCATATGGAAGGTGTTCAACTTCCTCTCCTGCCATGTACAAAGGGTCCAGGACTCACTGCAGTACAGGAGTGTGCTCAGGACACAGGCTCTATAGACCTAGATCTTGGTATGTGCTGTCAGCTTCTTATTGAGCCATACTCTCTTTGTGAGTCTAGAGAACATGGTAGCTGCTTTCCCAATGCGTTTATCCAAGGGGCTGGACACGGACAGGGTGTCAGAGATGGTTGAGCCAA